GGGGGTTCAGGGTTTAGGGTAGTGAAGTCTAAAGCTGTGGGGTTCATGCATGGAGCTTTTAGGGTATTTAGGGCTCGTCCGAATGGCCGGGTATGGAGGCATACTGGGCTTGCACAGGGCTTTAGAAGGTTATATAGCATTCCACGAAATCCATGGATCCCTAAACCCTGAACCCTAAACCAGTTCTAGCAAGACCGGGCGGCCAAGGTTGGCGTCCCTGCAGAAGTCGCAAGGCAGGTAGGCGAAGTCGTAGCGCCCCGCGAAGCCGTGTTGGTCCAACAACTCCAAGAACATGTCCCGGGTGTAGTTGTTCGGAATGTTCCTTACGTGAAACTTCTAAAGCAGCAACCGGGGCGCGTGGATGGCTACGCAGCATGTAGACGTCGAAAAAACATAAAAGCTGAAACTGTTGGAATAATACTAAGCCATAAACACCTAGAAATGTGAAAGGCTGCGTAGTGCAGAACGAAGAATCCGCAACATGACCGTAGTTCGTGTTGGGACCTGAGATACCTGCTGTGCCGAGGGCGCCTCGTGGCGGAAGCCCTTGTCTGCCACCGTGCCAGCGCTCTGCAGCTTGGAGTTGCTGAATTTGCCAGGCTCGTACGCCTCTTCTGGAGAGAACTCTATCAAGACGGAGTCGGTCCGGAATCGACGCAGACGCCTGTAGTGGTGCATGAGGCTGCCATCACTCAACTCGATAAACGTGCTCCTCACGACCACGCTGCATTCGCCTTCCTCGCAAGTCTCTGGCCGAGGCGAAGGGACCTGCGAGGAGCTGGAGTTCTCGACGGTGTCGACGTCGCTGTCATGTGCTGCCCTGCTCTCCACTTCACTCTGCTTCTCCACCTTCTCGACAAGCTGCACAGGCACAAACATGATGGAGATGGAGGACATGGCAGCAACAGCCTTTCAAGCGTCTTCACTGGCCGACAGCAGGTTCTGAGCCTGAAAGGCCCCCAAACGGTTTCGGAGTTCAGGTTCGAACCCAATCGCAACCAGAGCTCCTGCGGACGAACTGGCCCGGGGCTAGCCTCCACCCTAGACTAACCCTTGGAACGAACATGACAGTTGGAACTCTTTCCTGCGCAGGAGCGAAACCACAAAAAAGGGCTGTATTACAAGAACCCCGACATCAGTCTGCGGAATCACGGTGTCTTCATTCTGACCCTCTTGGCCAACCCCATCCCCCCCTTACCCTCAACGATAGGACGCGAAACCCCAGGGCCTAAACCCTGAACCCTAAACCCGAGGGCCTCAGCGCGTCCCCGATCTGCACCGTCATGCCTGACTCGTATGAGGCTTCACGACACGTCACTGTCGCATACACACCACGGGTTTCGCTCCATGTACTATACTCCCCAACAAACCCACCAGAACACCCACACCGATATATGGAGAGCAGCGACTCTGTGTGTGTGTGTGTCTGTGTGTGTGTGTGTGCGTGTGCATGCGTGCGTGCGTGTTTGTGTGCGTGTATGCATGTATGCATGTATGTATGCATGCATGTATGTATACATACATACATACATACATACACACATACATACATACATACATACATACATACATGCATACATATATGGTTATATATATATACATACAGATATAAATATATATCTATAGGTGTAGATCGACAGAGAGAGTGGGGTGTGTGTGTGTGTGTATGTATGCACGCACGCATGCATGCATGCATGCATGCATGCATGCATGCATGGATGTATGTATGTATGTATGGATGTATGGATGTATGGATGTCTGGATGTATGAACGTATGGGTGTATGTATGTATGTATGTATGTATGTATTTATGTATGTATGTATGTATGTATGTATGAATGTATGTATGTATGTATGTATGCATCTATGTATGTGTGTATGTATGTGTGTCTGTATGTATGTATGCATGTATGTATGCATGCAGTGTACGTGCAGTGTAGGTAGGTAGGTAGGTAGG